TTTAATATACTTTTTATACACCTTCTGATAGTTTTTAAAATCATCAATAAGTTCAGAATTGGACTTACAACTATCACATAAAGCTTCTTCAAGTTCCACCTCCTTAGTACTTCCAAGACGATGTCCTTTTGAGTTAATATCTCGCAATGTACATATATTAGCTATATATTTTTCAGCTTAGCTATATTTAATAAAAATAACATATTACGGATATTATCAATAATAACATATTATAGATATTATGGATATTATCAATATTATCAATATTACTGGTATTATCAATAATAGCATTATGGATATTATCAATAATATCATTAGTATTTTTTTTTATCAATATTACTGATACTATTAACAAGACCATGCGATTTGATGCAGTCAAACTATCACCAGATGACTATAAATATATTATGCAATACAAAGATGCAAAATCCAAACCTTTAGAGATGCTTAAAGATAAATATCCTATGTCTAATACCCGTTTTTATCGGATATGGAAAGGAAAAGAGGTTTGCACAAATGTTTGGAATCCATATTTAGCTGATTCGGAAAGTGATATTTCAATACCTATAGTTGTGGAAGAGACAAAAAAGAGAAAATCCAAGTTCAAGTCTGCGCGTATTTCTGATCAATACTCTGTTAGTAAAGATTCGACTGAAAAGATAGACAAAATATCAGAAGCAAAAAAAGAAACTATACCACCTGAAGCCTCACAAAAAACTGAAGATCCTTTAGAATTCTATAAGAGAACACAAGAGGAGGCTAAAAAGATAAGAGCTGTTGTACGTGCTGATATTTCTAAACTATCTGCTCCTATTTCAAAAGCTTAGAATTAATATGACTAATTTTTGTTTTATATTGATCATGCAAATTATTATAATATCTAATAAATTCTGAATTAGTTTGGACACTAGTAAATAGTGCTTTTTCAAGCTCCTTTACACAGATAGTCATACTTTCACAATTTATGCATTTTTTTTTACCTCTTCACTTGATGAATCAGAATCTAATACTTCTAAGGTCTCTATATATTTTGGCAGATCCTTGGCTACTGGAGCCCTGCTGAATATTGGTATAATATAAGACTTACCATGAACCTTTATGCGAAATTGGTTTTTATTTGGGTCAAGAATACCATGAACCTTTCGAATCCATGTCATACCTATACATAGCATTGGTTCTGGTTCACCATTATTAATACGTGCAAAATTTCCTGAAACTGTGACTGTTTTACCATCCTTATCCTTTATACTGACTGGCACATCTGTAAACCATCCCAATGATTTGGTAATATATTTAGAGTTACCTTTTATATCGAAGTCAGATGGCTTGTCAGCTTTCCATCCGAGGGCATTAATTGTTGCATCATTCAAGGCTCCAATCTCACTTCCATTATCTAAAAAAGATTCAGAAATAGACAAATCATTTATACTAACATTCAGATATTGTAGAGATGAAAACCACTCATCTGATTTTGATTCTTTCTCCTGAACTATATGAGACTGACACATTTTACGCATTGCCGGTGAAAGCTTTGGCAATAGTTCATCGTAGGTTTCAGGCTGACTAAGTTCTGGAAGCATTTTTTCATTTACCGGTACCTGTTTTTTTTTTCTGACTGAGATGGAGCATGCCATTTATTCTCTTCCTCGTTATATCCACCTTCTTCATCCTCATTATCATCTGAATCAGGAGATGCATATTGGGATTGGGAAGGTATTAGAGGAGGAAAGTATCGATATGTTGAATTTGATTTAGCTACGGGTTTTTTGTTATCAAGCATCATCCTCCCGAATTGAGATGTCATTTGACCGATTTCATCTACTTTCAACTCTATTCTATCTATTTTGGCATTTTGATTTGATGAACGTAATTGTTCTGGTTTACTTGCTATAGGTGGAGGAAAAGCTTTATCTAACCATTGTAGTGCTTCCTCTCTAGAAAGATTTAACCATCTAGGATCTCCCTGATCTGCATAAAATTCATGTATTTGTTCATGATCTTTGGGTGAAACTAGAGGGTGAGATTTTTTGGATTGCTAACTCATTTTTGATTCGAATTCGGTTTTCAATTTTTCAATCTCGGCCTTGGATTCAGCCTTCTGTTTTTCTAACATAG